CCCTCAGACGAATAGACTTTCCTTCCGAACAAGTCCAATCGTTTTGCCTCCTTGCCCTTGGGCACAGCGGCTTGCTGGCCATGACGCTCTCGCTCGTTGACCGCCGAGACCACCAGCGAACAAGGAGACGGGTGCAAAAAGAGGAAGTCAAACCCTCTAGATGGGGCGAAGTATTTTCTCTACACACCTCTTGCAGTTGGTGCACTGGAGGCCGGCGTTTGCCACACCGTCTTATAGTTGGACTGCACTGTCCGTATAATCGGGAGAGCGACTCTGGAGGGCCCCTCCGGGCTCAGGATGTCGACCATGGGGTCCTCCTGTTCTATAGTCTCCTCCGCTTGCAAGCCCAGATTGAGGGCTACCTGGCGAAGCAGGTCTTGGTGCGCCCGATGATCAATCGGGGGAGGGCCGGACACTGTCGTGCCCGCTACTGCCTTGTCCGGCGAGGAGGAAGAGGTCGGGGCCTTCTGCCCATCCTCATCTTCCTGCAACCCGACATCGACCGGTTGCTCCTCTGGGGCCTGTCCCACGGTGTGGGACTGGGACGGTACCGTGCTCGGTGCCGAGTCCACTCCCTCCCGCTCCTGCGGTCTAGAGACCGTTGCCTCCTTATGAGATGGCGGGCGGTACCGCGGAGAGCGGGATCGGTACCCTGATGGCCCGGATCTCGAGGTCCTAGATGGGGGCCCTTGCTGGTGGTAGGCCCAGGGTGTCCAGAACGGCCATTGGCTTGGTTGGCCCCAGTGGGGATGGCCACAGGCTTCGTAGTCCCTACTAGCCTGTGCCCTATGGGCATACCTGCCGTACTGGCCCGAGTCAGTCTCCGACACCACGGACGGTGATCTGGAAGGCCACTGCGGAGCCGTAGAACGGTGCCAGTCCGGGTTTGGGGAGTAGCGCCTCCGCGACCAGGACCTGGAGCAGCGTCTCGCCGACCTGGACCTGGATCGGTACCGGTGACCACGGGACCGGGAACGACTACGGCTGGTCGGTCTCGGGGAACGTACCGCCGACGCATCCCGGTGCCGACTCGTGTATGGCTGCTGAGTCGGTGCCGACCGCTTGCTGAAGCCCGACTGCTGTGGCGCTTTCTGCGCTGAGGGCAACCGGGAGTCCACCGAGGCGGAGCTCGACCGGGACCGGTGCCTTGAACTGTGCCGAGATGGCGACCGTGATGGGCGCACCATCACCGGCTTGCCTCTGTGTGGCAGCTTCGGAGGAGCGTCCTCAGTTCGTGGAGGGCCCTCAACGGACAATGCAATGAGGTCCTTTGCTGCCTCAAATGTGTCCGGAGTGGAGGGCTGTTCCAAGAGCTCCTCCAGCCCTTCATCCTCACTCGACGCGCCTATCCCGGGGTTCGACGGGCCTTTCGGCGCCGGAGCCACTACCGGGGCCTGTGCCGGGGCCGTGCCGACCTTAGGCGCACTTGAGGTCTTCACCGGTGCTGCCCTCTTATGCGGGGAGCGTCCTCGGGCCTTGGGTTGGCCCTTCGATTTTGCCGGCGAAGACGACCGGTGTCGTACATGCCCCCGTTGGGTCGGTGCCGTGGGCTTCGAGTGACCCGCCGTCGCCGGTTCCCGCACCGATGCCGGGGCGCTCCGCACTGAGGCAGACGGTGCCGCCGAAGTGGAGGGCTACAACGCCGTCTCCATGAGCAGCTGCTTGAGGCGAAAGTCTCTTTCTTTCTTAGTTCTGGGCTTAAAGGCCTTGCAGATCTTGCAGCGCTCTTTCTGGTGAGCTTCCCCCAGGCAGCGGAGTCGTGGGGGTCGCTCAATGGCATAGGCTTGCGGCACGTGGCACAAGCCTTGAAGCCTTGGGCGTGCGGCATGCCCCGCCGCCCAGGGCTGGTGCCGGGGTTGACCAAGCAACCACAGCAGGAACTTTAAGTACCTAATGAGCTGTTAACTACTAAGCTCAACACTACTACTAATTAACTGATAACTGTTTGCTAAATAACACTAATGACTATGCTAAGGGACACTCTCAGACGAGAGACAGAGTTGTTCCAATGCCGCCACGGACGGTAAGAAGGAACTGGAGGGGTCGGGTCGGCAGGGATATATATACACCCTAGAGCAGGGCGCCGCTCTGGTGGGAGGGAGGGGCCCTGCCGGCCCGACGGGAGCCGCTAAGGGAAAAAGTTTCCGACGTCCGTGCACGCGGCGCGCGTACACCTAATGTGTAATGGACGTGAACAAGAACACTCAAAGAAGAACCATACTGCTCAGAAGATTAAGCACTAACCTACTTCAAAACACCAGAAAATATAGGAACAAAATTCAATCAGCCTATCTACCCTCATATTGAATCTGCAATTAGAGCAGGGTCTAGGGTTTGGATGTAAATGAACATTACAACTTCAGGTGTTTTTCCTGTTTTTTTTTTTAAAAGTCTAAAAAAAAATTTTCATTCAAGTTTTAGTTTTTTCCACTGTAAAAAGAGTCTTTCATGTAATCAATACATTGTGGTCCTATGAACCCAATCTTCAGCCAAACAACGAAGGAGGGAAATCCACCTGAACATCTCACCAATCCTAACCTAAAGTGAGTTTGGGGTTTTCTGCTTCTACATCTTTTGATTTTTTATTATTTGCCCATTATATCTCCAGTGCAAGGCTCTTAAAAAAAAAAAAAAAAGCTAGCCACTCTATAGGAACCTAGCTACCTAGGGGATTGCTAGCTGAATGTAGAAAAGAAAGGCCGTGTGTTGTGATTTCCCATCAGAGTTATAGCAGCCAAAGATTGTTCTCTTTGGATGGCTGTTTAGTCTCTTGTCTCAGTGGACAACTGTCCACATCATACAAAACCCACCATATCTGGCATCAACTGACACTTTCGTTAGCAGTGTATGCAGACATCCCAAGACTTGCCAACCCAAAGAAGTGATCCTTTTTCAGGCACACTGGTAAGAAAGTGTGGAAGAAAAATAAGTTCAACCACTAATTTTAACTGATCCTTGCTTATAACAGAGTTTCAAGAAGCAAGCAGACATACAAGTTGGAGATAATAGAAAACATATAGCGTTTCACATGTTAAAATATACAATATCAGATCACACTAAATATTAAGATATTTATAGCCCCATGTATACACATACCGAAATACAGCTTAAATTCATGATTTGATGGGGAGCAGAGAAAGAGGAACAAGGAAAAGTAACATTCATAAAAATTCTATTTTTAGAGATTTTACCTTATCATACTGACATACGACAACATTCTCTGTATCAAACAGCTCTTGTCCTTCCTCATCACTCACATCATCTTCACTATTAAGGGGCTCCTAAAAGAAACATTTGCAAATAGTTTATGATAAACTGACTCCCATCTATTAAAGATTATAGATATTTTGATCATTTGCATGAAAATAAGCTCTGGTTATAACATGAATGAGGGGTTCAGTGCGGGGAGAATTAAGCTTTGAGATAAAACTTGATATGCCGGTCACGATTATAGGGCTAGCTTGACATCTGTCCCCTTTCTGGTCTCTCTACAGTGCACCACCTCACTTGTCAGGTCTCTGCCTTTACCATCTTTGATTGGAAGTTCACAATTCTCCCATTCCCAGACTGTATCTGGGCTACCGTATCCTACATACTAACTGTTCTTACCTAGTTAGTCTGATTGAGTTCGGGCACCTGCATTTTTTCCCTTTAGGAGACAGTGACCAGTGGTGAATATAGTGAGCAGACAGCCTTCTTAAACCAAAAGTATTGTTTATTTTACCAACTGGAACAAAGCTTTTAAGAAATAAATAGCCTACATGCATGTTTATCTTGCCCAAAAGCTACCTATTCCCTGATGGTAACCTAGGCAGGCCTAGCATCTCCAGATACCTGTGTCTCAGTCTGGCTCCCCAACAACAACCCCCCTGCTATAGTTTTTTTGTTCTTCTGTGTTTTGGGGCTTTAAGCCCTTCTGGTTAAAACCAGTCCTCTAGACTCAGCAGGAGATTATACAAGAGTCCTCAGAGCCAATGTTTCTGACATGGTCCCTTAACAATTGTAGTGTTTGCTGGGGGTGGCATTTCTTTTTCTTTCTGTGTTAATCAGACAGATTCTTGTTCAGCTAAGCCAATGTAGTCATACAGTAAACACCCCAATAACCAGTACATTATACAGTATTCATAAATTATCCCAGGGCAGCTCCAAATGTTACTGTGCCCACGTCCCATTTTCCAAAATGACTTTGGCATTTGCCTATACTGAGAAAGCTCCAGCGACATTTGAAGGCGTTTTTATAATCGTATGTAAACAGCATATATTTTAAATGCTACTTGATAAATCACTATTGAAAACATGACACATCCTTTTCCTAAAAAGTCTCTCACACTCCCTCGCCATTGCTTTCTCATTTTATGGGTTAATTATAAGAGGCACAGGGCAAGGCAAGTTTAAACCCCATCAACCATAATATTAGTTCTTGATTAGCTGGTATAGTATTCCCTTCAATCCAAGAAGGAAAACATGCTTCTTTATACCAGAGGATGCCCTACCTCCTCCACTCTCACAGATGGTGGGTGTATTGAAGTGAGCTATCTGATGCACAGAACTGGAATGAGTTCCTTATAAAGCAGATTGATAACAGTGAAAAGAGGCTAGAGCAACATAATGCTGAGAAGATCTCTGGTCTGCTGATGGTTATATTTAATAAATCTTAATATCAGTGAAATTCCAGAAGACTAGAACAATGCTAATATTTTGTCAATATTCAAAAAAGGCAAGCAGGATAACCCAGGTAACCATACTCCAGGGAGCCGGATATGAATTCTGGGAATGGAAATGCTGATACAGGAGTCAACTGATAAAGAATTAAAAGACAGGAACATAATTCATGACAGTCAACAAGGACTTATAGAAAATAGGTCTTGTCAAACAAGGCTGATTTCATTCTTTGGTGAGATTACGAGTATGGTTGACGGTGGATAAAAATCAATGATTTTTTTAAAAAATCATTTTTTTAATTTAAATCGAAATTCTATAATATGATACAATATATTAATGTAATGTTTAAGAAAAGTTTTGTAAATGAGTTCCAATAGTTCATGGATTAGGGACCCAATCTTATGGGGTTCCACAAGCTTCTGTATAGATTATTTAGGTTAATCTTTCTATCTACCCAATGGGACTCAGTGCTCAGTCTAGAAGATACCATCAGAGATGCTTAGTTTTGCACTTCTCAAACTGTGGATTTGTCTCCCCAGAGGTAACATGCTTGTTAACAGTAAAAATGTTTTTAAATAAATACATAATATATAGAGGTGAGAAATAACAGACTTCAACCCTGTTGTCCCTCTGCAAATGTGTACACAAAGTCAATCCCTTACCTCTCCCTAAAAGTGAAAAGTTTCAAAAAGTTCAATGAATAGAAGATGGTTGGGGGTGGAAAAGATCTGGACAAGGAGAAAAAGTCTGGAGATAAATGTGAGAAGCGAGAGACATATGTTTGCTGTTGAAGAAAAAATCCAGACTTCATAACGTTGTTGTTTTAGTTAAATAAAACATTTAAATGTCTGTCTGGTGATGTTCTCCACCTAATACAGCATGGCAAGAAAATCCTCCAAATAGTAATGATTAACCTGTTGAATTGGAGATAGTTCACCTCCCAATGACTTCATAAATATCTGGTTATTTCATTTACCAGAGGTAATTGAAGCAAACATTCATTTTCTGAAATAGCTGTAAAACTAATCTGAAAAGTTTTCAATATAAATCACAGTTTAAAAATGTATAGTGTGTACCTTCTAAAAATGAAACCTACATCTACCTCTGAGTTGTGAAGAATATGTATATTAAGGTTATAACAACCAACAAGAAAGTACTTTGATATAGAAATCCATGATTAAATCGAGTCTTCCTGACTAGTGATGTAAATCAAATGCACCCTGATGGTTGATAAAAGTAACTGTAGATGTACTACAAACTTTTGTAAGGCATTTGACTTAGCACATTCTGATTTAAAAGTTAGCACTGTACAATATTAATAGAGCACACATTAAACAGATAAACAACCGGGCAAGTAAGAGATCTCAAAAAATAGCTTTCAATGGGAAATTATTACTGAGTGGGGGTCGTGGGTTCAGCAGGCCCAATACTATTTGACAGTTTCATTAGTGATCTGGAAGTAAAAAGACAGTTACCTTTTCCGTAACTGGTGTTCTTCAAGATGTGTTGCTCATGTCCATTCCACAATAGGTGTGCGTGCTTGCCAGGTGCATTGGTGCCTGAAATTTTTCCCCAGCAGTACCCGTAGGGGAGTGCCCTTAGCGACCCCTGGAGTGGTGCCTCCATGGACCGGTATAAGGGGTGCTGCGCGCTCCCCCCACCCTCAGTTCCTTCTTGCCAGACAACTCCGACAGAGGGGAAGGAGGGCAGGATATGGAATGGACATGAGCAACACATCTCAAAGAACACCAATTACGGAAAAGGTAACTGTCTTTTCTTCTTCGAGTGATTGCTCATGTGTATTCCAAAATAGGTGATTCCAAGCTATATCTGTTGGAGGTGGGTAGGAGTTCACAGACACCCAGGATGGAGTACAGCCCTGCCGAACCTGGCGTCCTCCCTGATTTGGGAGACGGTCGCATAATGCGAGGTGAACGTGTGAACCGAAGACCATGAGGCAATCCTACAAATATCCTGGATGGGAACATGGGCCAGAAAGGTAGCCGATGAGACTTGCGTCCTAGTTGAGTGCGCCCTCAGAATCAGCGATGGGGGGACTCCCGCCAGGTCGTAACAGGTACAAATACTCAAGGTGATCCAGTTGGAGAGCCGCTAAGTGGAGATCGGCCGAGGAACAGCTGAGAGGACTTCCTGAATGGCTTTGTATGTTCTAGGTAAAAAGCCAGAGCCCGTCTCACATCCAGCATGTAGAAGTGGTGCTCCTCACTATACTCATGGGGCTTGGGATAGAGCACCGGCAGGAAAAAGTCCTGACCCAAATGGTAGGCAGAGACCACCTTGGGGAGGAACGAAGGATGAGGGCGGAGCTGGATCTTATCCTTATGAAACACCGTGTAGAGGTCAGGGCCCGGAGCTCCAAGATCCATCTAGTGGATGTGATTGCCACCAGGAAGGCTACCTTCCACGAGAGGTGCGGCCAGGAGCATGTAGCTAGCGGTTCAAACGGGGGACCTGTCAACCTGGTCAGCACCAAGTTCGGGTCCCACTGTGCGACTGGAGGCCTAACATACGGGAAGAGACGACCCAAATCCTTGAGGAATCGTCCAGCCATGGCATGGGAGAATACCGTAAGGCCCTGCACCGGCGGGTGGAAGACCAAAATGGCCACCAAGTGCACCCTGACAGACAAGGGCGGTAGGCCTTGGGCTCTAAGGTGAAAGAGGTAGTCTAAAATGAGCTGAATCGGAGCAGCCACGGGCTATTAGCTGCCCATGGGGAAAATTGAGACCACTTTGCCAGGTAGGCCTGACATGTGGAGGGCTGTCTGCTTTCCAAGAGGACGTACTGAACCCCTTCTGAGCAAGCCCTCTCCTCCTGGCCTAACCACTGAGCAGCCATGCTGTGAGGTGGAGTGCCGCTAGGTTGGGATGGAGGCGGCGGCCCTGGTTCTGGGATAGCAGTCTGGGCGGGATGGCAACGGCCACGGCAGGGCGACTGCCAGGCTCGTGAGAGTACCGTACCAATGTTCCCTGGGCCACGCCGGGGCAATCAGGAGGATCCGGGCCCTGTCCGTTTTTATCTTTTCCAAGACCTTGACAATCAGCTGGATCAGGGGAAAGGCATAGAGAAGGTGGCCCGACGAGGACTGGAGGAAGGCATTGGAGATAACGCTCCTCCCGCCCAGCCCCCCTCCGAGCAGAAGCAGGGACACCAGCGGTTCTGCTGTGTCGCAAACAGGTCCACCTGAGGAGTGCCCCATGTTTGGAAAATCCTGTGCACCACCTCTGGGTGCAGCGACCACTCATGCTGAGAGAAGTCTCGGCTCAGGCGATCCACCCGAGAGTTCCGGGCATCTGTAAGTGGTGGGCTTCCAGGCAAATATCGTGGGCTATATAGAAGTCCCACAGCCTGAAGGCTTCCTGGCAGAGGGCAGAGGAGTGGGCCCCACCTTGCCTGTTGATGTAGAACATTGAGGCCATGTTGTCCGTGAGAACCCTGACCACTCTGCCCTCCAGGTGTGAGCAGAAGGCCACGCATGCCAGATGGACCACCCTGAGCTCCTGCACGGATCACAGACCTTGGGTCTGAACTTTCCCCACATGGGCTTTCCACCCCATGTCTGACACGTCAGACACCTGCTCCACGGATGGGGGCCAGC